GTCTAAAGCTTATTTGGCACTGCCGTGAGCCTCAACCCTTGTTATTACCCCGAAGGCCCGTCTAAGAAAAAGAAAAAAAGAAAAACCAGCCCACACAACTCATGCTCTATTACGCCACTGCAATAATTTACAGTTCTTACCAGCCTTGGCTAGTGTAATATTTTAATGCAAATACCTTACTATTGCATTTTATTTTTTAAAAGTTTGCATGCTTCTGGCTAGCGAAATTTTGATGAGTGCTCACTAAAACTGGCCTCTTATTCGGGGCAGGTCGGATGGAGTGCGCAGTTTCCCCTGTGAGCTCAAAAGCAGGTGGGGGCCTGAGGGTGGGTGTGGGGGTGAGGGACGGTTAATTAAACTTCCCTTGAGAAATCGTTTTGTTTTGGTTTTGGTTTTAAGAACCTATGATAAACCCACCAAGATAACACCAGTCCTTATTTCTCTGCACCCAGTATTAATGCAAATTTACATTTTGGTGACATTATTAGGTTTCTGTATGCCAAACTGCCTTACGTAGTTAGAAACTGACTATACAACCGCTTTACTGCTCCAGTGTAAATCGCTACCGAGAAAGTGGTCTGTCCATGCTACACTACCTTTAAATTGTGTATATAATTTTATAAATGATATAAAATCTGCTTCTAGTCCTGAGGGAGGGGGGCACTATAAGCATGGCACACTGCAATTTTGGGAGGATTTAAAATATGTGATTTCTGCTGGTACCTACTGTACTGGGTTTTATATAAAGCTTTTTTCAATAAGGTAAATTGTTACATGACAAACTCATCTTCCACCATTATCATCTGCTGTTTGTGTTTAACAACAGGAGTCCCGCTCTAACAAAACTGTTGTAATGGCTGTACAAATTACTCAGCTGAAAGCTTTTCACCAAACAAAACCGTATTAATCAGCAGTTCTTATGAAGGTGCTAATTAAAAACAATTTTCTTCCTCAGTTTGCAATACTAAAGCCATCTTCACTTGCATGGTTTCCAATATACAGCGCTACTGTATTTGCTCACACTTCAGGCCCTCTATTAACTATTGAATCTCCTATTAGCCATTTTATTACATTTCTGTTTACAAGCTTGTTGACATTTTAAAAGTCACAGTATGATCTGTTTTATCTATTAAAAAATGTATTAATTGAAAGGCGACAAGAAAAGGCAAAACACAGGCTCCAAATGCAGACTTCAGGCAAAGAAGATGTGAGCATTTCGCCATCACCGGGTAAACAGAGACCTGAGAATTAAAAATGGCCTTCAGCTTTAAAGATCTCTGTTCAACATCAACGTGCTCCTTCCTAATTTGGAAAGCATCGCCTAGATCACCCAGGAAAATATACTTGCCCTCTGCCCAATTTCAGTATCTAAGGAGACTCAGCCTGACATTGAAATCCGTCTTTTTTTAATAAGGTATATGATTCATAATTATGATAATTTCATATAGGTTGAGCTTGGGAGATTTTTTTTACTGGGGAGGGAGTACCTGGAATCAGAGAAAACAAAAGCCCAAATCTAGAATCTAAACAGTAGTGTCTCTGGAAGTGTTAGGGTGATTCCTGTGTCTACACAGGCTTTTGATTCTCCTCTGTGTGGCTATCCTGCCCCACCCTCAGAGCTAGTGAGAAGGTTCTGCTAGATAATGTCACCGCATTGTCTGGCATAGATTGGAAAAAGTAAAATGCTGACCAAGCACAAGACAGACTCTGTGGAAGTTGGGTTTAGGGAAGGGAATAGCCTACTCTTTCATGGGGAGAAAAAAAACACACAACCAACACCTTCAAAACTAACAGAACAACCACCCCACAAACTCCAAAGCCTTAGGAAATGCATGCTCCACATTGGTCTTGGTAAGAAGGGAAAAAGAAAAAGAAAACCTCCTGCATATGGTATTGAAACCAGGTTCTTCGGCCATCAAAAGCAGTTAACTAGTTTGGGGTAGACACCTGGCTGTTGGAAAAGGACCACTAATCCTTCCATTCTCTCAGTTAACTGCTGGATCCCCTAAATGGATTCAACAGGTATGCAGCAGCGAATTCAGCCCCTACTGCAACCAAAGGGAAACCCAGCATGGAGCAGGCAGCTCTTCTCTGAAAACACCTGAGGAACCAGCCAGAAAAGCTTTTATAGCCCTGACAAGTTTTCTGTTGAATACTGAGCACCTAAATTACCCTTCCCTAATGGAAGTTACATTTTCATGCTCAGTCAAAAAAACCAACAAAATACACAATTTATACAAAATAGCATCAACCTCTCAGGTAGTCTTTTCTAGCATTTTTTATACCAATTCAAGGCCTATGTCTTGCTATAAAATAGAATATATTTCTTAAAACCAACCTGTGTGTGCTGTTCATATCACTGTGTTACAATCAACCATGGATGAGATTAGAAACATTCTTATATCCAACCAAACTGACTTAGTATGACAAAGGATATCAAAAGGTACAGACACACAGGAAAAAGACATATCATGACCTACATGACATATCATTACCTAATTGTATAGACTTTCTTTTGAAACAAACATATGCATAATTACATAGATAATTCTGGAATAGGGTATTAGATTTCAATTACAATTTTACATTCCAACACTGTTGCAGATAAATAATTCTTAATCATAAAGTTCACATGAAATTTAAATGCATAAATATTGTAAAGGAGTCATAATTTTCCCTTCGCAATCTTCACACTTCATTGACAGGTGCAAAAAAAGAGGGCACTTGAAAAATTATTCCATTATATATAGCACTAGCTTCTTACAAACTTCCAAAGAGCCAGGACTAGAGATCTTTTCAGGTGATGATCCTATAGAGAGAGCGGACCTTTGAAACCTTTGGCATTGTACAGGAGATTCTCTGGGTTTTAATCACACAATACGTGGATTTCTTTACCAGATATCACAGTAAGAAGAGCTCAGTTCAGAAACCCTTGCTCAATTTAGGTAACTATAGAATGAGATCGCTGTTATTGTGGTGTTTGGTTTGGGTTTGTTTTTTTTTTTTGGAGTGTTTTTTTTTTTAATTTACTATATTACTATGTTGGGTTTTTTTAAAAAAACAACATTTCTTCCTCAAGAAATAAATGCTGGATTTCAACACTTACAACACACAAATGCAAATTGAATCCTTGGCCATTCCTGTATTCTCATGAAGAGAAGTGGAAATATTCTTATGGTCTGCTGTTGTGTATTTTTAAAGAAAAGAAAATATTAGACCATCTTAGGTGCTACTGCAGTGACGAGCTTCCTTTGTCCATCAGCGATAGCTGCAGATTTCACAGATGAGTTTTGCTGTATTTCCATCAGTATACCAGGACTACCTGTCCTCCCTTTTAAAACATCCCACGTTCTAATTTTTAAACAAGAAAATATGAAGTCAGTGTGCAACCTATACAGTCACCAAAGGCGAGCTGCCACTGGCTGAACTACTCAGCTAAATGGCTGGTTTGCATTGCCCTGGTCTTTATCTAGCACTGAGAATAGACTGCTGTTTTATCCAAAGAGGAATAAATTGCTGTTATTGTGATGTTAGCCCATCACTTGGCATTGCAATTCAAGTTTTTTTGTGAGAAAGAAATGTATGATCTAACTGCGACTTGACCTATGCCTTCAGAGATCCAGCTAGGTGCTCTAATGGAGCAGAAAAAGTGGTGAATACAAGGACATGCAAACTGATGGTGAAAAATTTGTTTGATGATAGAAGTGAGCAGAGAAGACATTTGAGAGTCGCTGTTTTTATGACAGCTAAGTTTGTTTAACATGCAAAGGCTGTGTCCTCAGTCCCCCCACCTCTTTAATTGTATCCCACTAAATACATACGCTGCATCTACTAAAGATATAAGGCTACGTAGCTAACCTGCTAATGACATTACTGCTAAAGTAGGCACAGATGATGCCTTACAGATAAACATCTGAATTTCCACAAAAGGCATTAGAGCATCTCGTGAATGCCTAGGCAAGGATAGGCTTGGGTTCCCCGCAGAAAAGTCATTCTATCTTAATCCTAGGTAGCTCCTATTAAATGTTTACTGAACACTCGAATCACAGTGTATCACAATATATAGGATACTTATTTTAAATAAGATAATTGTGTGATTGAGGTTTTGGTGCTTTTGTTCCTTTCCCCCCACCCCTTCCAAGCCCCTGGTTGCAATCTAGTTTACCAACCATTTATTTAAAATTTCTCTGGGAAGGACCTGATTTGAAAGAAGCCTGGAGAACAGCAGCAGTTAGATTTGAGCCTTGATAAAGGCTCACTTTTCATTCATAGAGCCTAAATGTGCTCTTCTTGTACCTAAACAGATAATAAGCACTCAGCACACTCCCCCTCCTTGACACAACACACTGAGACTAATCACACATAATTGGAGAGGAGGAGCAGAGGGCTGGCCACGCTATTGTGTCCACAGGACAAACGGTCAGTTTATGAGGCTTTGGGCTCATGTAGTCATTTCTTATACATCTATGGGGGGAAAACATCCTGTTTAAAAGGGAAAAAAGAATGAGAAAGAGAGAGATGGCAGATTTAATACAATTAATTTGAGGGTGATCAGAAAGATGTGCTTTATTTTTTTTAAGTAGGAAATAATAATGATGTTTGCAGATTAAAAACTATCCACATTGAAAAGTAAGACAAAGAGGTATATATTTTAAAAATCTATTAAAAAGATGGAGTCCACCAAGAGAAATTCTGCCTCAGAGAAAGAAAAATATGTAGGCTGCTCATGAGTCAAATACAAATTTCAGACAGGCTGTTTGTAAATTTTTAAAGACACACAAAGGTTCAGTGCTGGGAAGCAACAAGCCAGCTGTGGAAAGGGGCTGGAGGGAGGTAGTGAGGGGGCAGGCAAGAAAATGTATAACCACAAATGGACCCCCAAACTGGGAGGCACCTTCTGTTAATATCTAGTACTCAGGACAGATCTCTATATTTATGAAAGCTCTTCCATCATCATCATGGGCTTGATGTTTCTGTCTTTACTTGGGGTAATTAATCTT